AAGTGAAGGAGGAAGCTGTGGCGGAGAGAAGGAAAATTACGCTAAACCACCGCAGCCCAAAATGGCTCGCGGGATGATCTGACGCCTAGCAGGGCAAACGTGACTTATCGATTGTTAACTCGCGCGCGCGCGCGACATTTGTGGGCGCTGGCGCGTGCGCCTGAATAACATTTGTGCTTGTCATGACATGCCATTCTAGTTATGGGCACTGATCTCGAGCGCGCGCGCTTCCATGACATATTTCCCTCAAGCAATCGAGTCATTCACGCTGTATGCTAGGTGCAGAGTAGGATTTGAGAATGTCCACTCCTACCAAGCTCATCGCGGAGCTGGCCAACCTCCCCAAGTTCTTTGAGGAGCAGAAGCAGTGCAACCTCGACTCGGATGCCTTGTCTGAGTTGATGCGCGCGCAGGCAACGTGCATCAGCGCAAAGATCAGGTCGCTCATTGAGTGCGACTTACGATCCGCAACGGAGTTGACTAAGGCCGTCCACGGCGTCGGGTGGGACAAGGAGACAACGGCTAAGTTGGCTACGCTGGTGAACGTGATGAAGAACAAGCTCGAGGATGGGAACCCTAACGCAAGGCGGCCGAACCAAAAGTGCTCATCATTCAACATGTACTTGGCTGATATCGAGTACACGACCCTCGCGGACAGCATGACGCCTTGGTCTGCTAAGTTCGCAGTTGTGAAAAAGAGGTGCTTCTTCATCGGGCTCCTCCTGCCGAGTGAGAAGACGAAAGGGCACATCTTGGAGTGCATCTATGTGGCCAACGGGCTTATGTTTCTTCCTTCGTGTTTTTTATTTTTTTGTCATAATTCTTTACTTTGAGCATAACTATCTTTTTTTTTCGTTTTTTCCTTTGTATGCGCTTTATGGTTTAATTTTGTTTTTTGCTCTTTTGTTTTTTCATTTTGGTTTTTTTTGTTCATGTTTTTTGGGAGAAGGGGAAAGATTGGTTCGCCCATTTGAATAACATCAAGGAGGCGCTTGCGCCGCTGGGCACTGTCAAGTACCCATTTGAGTTTATGACAGAGTTTCCGCTTTTGCCCAAGGATCTCCCGAGTGAAACCTACAAGCATGCATACGAGACGGACCCGCCGTCGATGAAGGAGTACCGCGAGCTGACGTTCGGAACAGTCCGACAGAGCTCGGCCGCCTATAAGCGCGCGCATACGGGAGCTGAAGAAGCGGAGTCGCAGCTGGCCCTCAATAAGAAGAGCCCGCCCATGCTGAACCTGTGCGCTCCATCCGCAACCGACCCCAATCAGTTCATGGCGGAAGCCTGCAGGCAGATCGGCGCCCAGATGCTCCTGCAGGGCATGATGAAGGGTCTCCCTAGCACGAGTGCAGGCATGGACCCGTATAACATGCTGCAGTGCCTCCGTTCTTCCGCCGACGTGGGCGCGTCGTCGGCCTCGCACCTGCCCGAGCCGAAGGGCAGCCGCTCCGCCGCCGAGCCCACTGGAGCGGCCGAGCCCACGGCTGGCGTCCGCGCCGACGACAGCGCTGGAACATTCCCCATGCCTCCCCCAGCTGTCGACGAGAAGGCTGGCGCCTGCGCCGACGACAGCGATGCGAGCGAGGAATCTGCTGCGGAGCGCTTGCGCACGAAGGCGACAGGCAAGGGCAAAGCGGCTGGCCGCTTGCCGCGCCCCGCAGCTTCGGCCTCCGCTGCAAAGCGCCCCGCATCGGCCGCCCCTTCGTCGGGCGACGCCGATCCGCCACCGATGAAGAAGGCGAAAGAGGCCAAGCAGGGCGGCGTCACAGAGAGTGATTTGCCAAAGGGCTTCAAGCTCAATCTGAAGGAGTTTCTCTCCAAGAGTGTCGCAGCAAAATACCCGTCCAAGGGCGCATACACCTCCAAGCTATACGCGGAGGGTGGGAAGCAGGCCAGGGATAAAAAATTGAGCTCGGACGATGTGAAGCTCGCCCAGAAGGTCGCGCACAGCATTGGCTCATCTTTCTGGGCCATCTGTGGCTTGTAGGGGCGTGTGCGCCGTTGCAGGAGCTCGCAGCGCTAAATACTAGGCAACGATTGCATTCGTGCACGCGGCGAGTGCACGCGTGCAGCCGCGCATGCCGTATCTTTTTGCGATGAAACATTGCCAACCTTATTATTTCTCTTTCCCCCGCACTTTCTCTCGCTCTCTATCTCGCTTTATCTCGCATTACGTTCGCCCGCCATCATTCCCAATCTTGCCATAGCGTTCACTTTCTATGCTATCCTTTTCCGCCACCACTCCCCCTCTATATGCCCCACGCATATTTATATATATATATATATATATATATATTTATATCCCATCTCTCTGCCCAATATCCTTACATATAGGCCCTCTCTATACAAAGAGCCCTTTCTCCTCGAACACATCCCATCACACTCTCTCTATATATATAGCTCTCTTTCTCTCTCTCTCTCTCTCTCTTCCTCGCGCTCGCACGTTCTCCCTTTCGCTCCATTTCATTCTCCCTCGTTATCGTGATCTCATTCCCCTCTATATATCTCTCTCTCTCTCTCTCTCTCTCTCTCTCTCTCTCTCCTGTCACACCTCCCGCCTACCCCTTCTCACCTGCATCCGATTGTCTCCCCAGCCCTCTGATTATCCATCCATACACCCGCCCGCCCTTTCAGCCTACCAGCGTCGTCGCATCGCCATCCCCCGCACGCCGCGCTACCACCGTAAGATGAGAGCGGCTATTGTAGGATGACATATGGTGTTATTATTGAGCTCTTCACCGATGGAAATCCGTTGATCGTGTCGCGTGGCAGACTGTGGGTTGCGCGATTCTCGCGCGCCCCTGCCCCAGCCCACGCCCATCCCGATCCCATGATGCATCGCAGTTTGGCTCTGCGCTCGCTTAGCGTTTAAGCAGCTGCGCGCGTGGTTGCGGACTGTTTGAGATGGTGCGCTCGGAGATGGAGAAAATGCTGCAGAAGCAGCTGACCACCGTCAGGAAGGAGAGGTCGACGGCAGAGAGGCAGCTCGGAACACAGAAGGTGTACTTCCTCAAGAAGATGCTCACGCAGCAGTCGACCTTCTTCCTTCAGTCGCTGTCGCGCGTCAGGGCCAACGGCCTGCCGACGGTGGAGTGCCAGAAGGTTGTGAATACGTTGGTCGGGTCAATCATTCCCAAGCCAGAGACGAGTGAGGTCGGCACCCAGACGGACTTGAGGCTGTCGCAAGGCATTGAGCCCGCGAGGCTGCCCAAGCCGCTGACGGCGTTGGATGAGGGGTCGGACTCGAGCTGGGATGGGGACAGCGAGCAGCTGGGGTCGATGTCGGAATGAGCGCAGCTAGAGGCATGTCTTAGCCCACAGATTTACTGCCGTTGTTGCAGTACAGCCCGTTTTACTGCTGGGAGGGGAGATCCCAGAAAATGTGTTCCATCATTCGCACGCGTGCGTTTAACCGCGTCTAAATCCGCCACCGTGCCGCGAGGCGCGGAGTGGGAGTGCCCTCATGCCCCATTGTCAAATCCTCCGAGCCTCAGTCCTCAGTCCTGTGAGGAATCATTATAAAGGGGACCAGAGCCTCAATTTCCAATTCTCTCGGGCCTTCCCGCGGTTCACCTGGGGCTTCTTGCAATTTCCCGCGTGATTGTTTCGAGCTCAAGCGGGCCCCGAGACGGGCCAAGAAAGCACCAAAGAGGCCCCGAATACGGCCCAGGCCCCGAGACGCCAAACGAGCGCTCCACGACGCCCAAAATGGCCCCAAGACGGGCCCAGAGGCCGCCCGCAGACGGCCCGCCTCCAAGAGGCTTCCCAAGAGGGCCCCGAGTGGCTAAACTTGTTGATTGCCCCTTGTGGTTTTCGATGTTGTGTTTTTTTGCTTTCTCGCCTTTTCGGCTTCCCGACGCTCTGAGACGGCCCAAGCCCCAAGAGGCCCCAAGGGGCCCCCAAGACGGCCCGACGACGGCCCAATACGGCCCCAAGATTGCCCATTATGGTTCCAAATACAACCCAAGAGCTCTTGGAGCCCTAGGGCTCCAAGACGGCACCAAGAGGGGCCCAAGAGGGCGACGAACAATTCAAACATTCAAGTCGCCCCCAGGGGCCCCAGGGTGCCCCAAGGCCCCCAAGACGCCCCAAGCAGCCCCCAAGGCCCCCAAACGACCTTGCAGATGCCCCAAAACGCCACCCCAAGAGGCTTCAAAACTGCCTCCCAGAAACCTCCGAAAGGCTTAACACGAGACCCAGACACACATTCGGTACCACTTGAGGCATATTGCCGACATACACGTTAGGCATACTGACGACGCGCCTCAGATGGTACCCGATCGGAACTACTTGAGGCATACAACGGACATGCCTCAAGTTGTATTTATTCGATGCCACTTGAGGCATACTGCCGACATGCCTCCCTCGGTCCAGAATGTGAGATTGTCGAGCTTTCGGTCCACCACCGCCCCGCGACGGCCCAAGCGCCTCCAACGCCATCCAATGTCCACGAATCCAGGCACGGTGGCGGAATGGGCCGAAGGCCATTATATAACCAAATTCAGTTCCGCGCATGTATGCACGCGTGTCGTATGAAGCGATCGCCCCACGCACCGCGCGCCGATCAAGAGGCGCACGCGCCACCGTCCTCGCCCTGGCCCGAGCGACCAGCGCGCCCTTGCGCGCGTGCACCCCTGGCTCATGAAGCGCGCGGGCGCTGACCTTAATGAGCTGCATCGCGATTCTTACGTTTCGCAGCGGGGGCTTGAGGCGATTCTGAAAAGGGTGAGGGCGGACGGGCTCCCCAGCGCGAGCAGCTCGCGCTCGCAGCTCCGAGCCCGCCATGCGTTCACTAGTGAGCCAACGCCATACGGCCCTGTGGTGCAGCCGATGGAGCTCACTCTAGAGGACAGGACTGTTGGAATTGCATTTGTCAATCACCCGTTTGCCCTCTTGGATCGTACCGTTCGGGAGCGCGCTCCGTTCAGGCAAATTATGAAGGCAAAGTTGGCGAAGTTCCCCAGCTCCCCGAGTACGCCGTGGAGGCTCATCATATACTTCGACGAGGTCAGCCCCACGAACCCACTTGCATCCAAGAAGGACCCACGCAAAGTGCAGAGCTTCTACTGGACGTTCGCTGAGTTTGAAAATCTTGTTCATCGGGAGGAAATGTGGTTCATTGTTACATGTACTCCGTCGCTCATTGTCGAGACCATGGACAGCGGCATGTCGCAGTTAGTCAAGCATGTACTGAAACACATGTTTTTCAATGACGAGTCTCATCACCTGACGAAGACAGGCATTTGCTTGGATTTGCGCGAGAGCGAAAACGATACCAATGATTTCACCAGGCTCTTTGCGCGTCATTACGGGACATTGGCTGACTTCAAAGCTATCAAGGAAGTCCTCGGTAGCATGGGCCACCGAGGCATCGTGCCATGCCCTTTGTGCCGAAACATCGCCAAGGACGGTAGATTCGGGCACCTCCCGTTGGACAATTTGGAGTGCCACCTTTGGGAGCCGCACTCGGACGCTTCTGTGCGAAACTTGCTGGGAGAACTGATGGTTGCAAAAACTGTTTTGGGTAAGACTGCTTACGCAGAGTTGGAGACCAGGAAAGGGTTCCACTACGGGCCCCACTACCTCACTGCTGATGCCGCCATGAAGCCAATCAGCACCACCATGTACGATTGGCCGCACATATATTTCATCACTGGGCTTTTCGAGTACGATCTCGATGAATTTATGCACAAGGCCAAGGCGGCTGCGGGGAGGAACAAAAAGGGCCTGGTGGAATACACAGACCTGCACGCGTACATGCAGCAGTGGACGTGGCCTCGGGAGTACAAGAGAACGGCTGAAATCTTCGAGACCAACAAGCTGGCCGCCACTGCGAGCGAGCAGCTGTCAGCGACACCAGTCGTACAGAGGTACTTCTCCAACGTGGTTGCAAAGGAGGAGAGCCTTGCCGCCCTCCACGGTGCAGCGGAATCAGTTTCGCTCTGTTGTGAGAGCATAGAGATGCTGCAATGCGCATCGCGCAAACAGGTGTCCGCGGTCCAGCTGCATGATTGCATCATGAAGCACTTGCATAAGTTTCGCGACGTGCACGGGCGAGGGCCCTGGCAATTCAAGCACCACCAGGCTGTTCATCTCGGTCCGCAGTACCGAGATTTCGGTTGCCTTTTCGACACGTTCGTCACCGAGCGAAGGCATAAGGACCCGAAAAAGTTCGCAATGAACCGCCAGTCGAGAGGCATATACTACACCAGGGGTCTCAGGGAGGAGCTGTGCTGCCAACATTTTGCAGACCTTAAACAATTCTCGACGCACGTAAGCGGCAACTGGAGTGCGTTGCCGAAGGCGTTGCGCATGCCAGTGGGGGAAATGTTTCCGCGCGCAGCCAATATCGAGATATCTGGCACTTTCGTTGCCGAATCGGGCGCGAAGTTTAGCAATTTGGATGTCGTCCTGCTTGGTGGCGACAAGCGCCGACAGTGCGGGCAAATCTGGTATAATTTCTGCGTTGACGGCACTTACTGGACGTGCATCTCCATGTGGGAGTTTAGAAAAGCAGACGGCCGATATGCTAAATATAAGCGGGCTGAAAAGCCAACCCTAGTCTTGTCTAACGAGTTGCTGGCCCACGGAATTTGGCGATCAAGCGCCGACGGGGCTGTTGCAGTTATATGGCCGCTGCATTATATGTTTGCATGCGGTTTGATGTAAGTCGATGCGCTCTCACGCTCTGTGCCTCGTGAGATCCCCAACCGCACCACCACAAACGACGAGCCCAGAAAATCTTCAAATCCGTATGGTATATTCGGTTCCCGAGCAATTATGTTATCATCGGCGCACACAACATCGAAGTGTGAATCCAATCAGCCCGTTCCCTTTTCCAACGAGGTTTGCCTTCCCTGCGTCTGGGCGGGCTTACCTGCGAGGAGTTCGAACGTCCTTGATGGCTCGAGATGGCTCCAAGACGGCCTCAGAGAGCCCGAGCTTCCAATATGGCCAAATATACTTCAAGGTGGCTCGAGATAGCATCCGACACGAACCAATACGGTTTCAAGTGCCCTCCAACCCCCCGCGTTCAAACCCACAGAGGCCAAATTTGCACCAACACCAAAGCAAAACAAATGTTTTTTGGTGTGTTCGCTTTTTCGCTTCCGATGGGCTCTTGAGGCGTCAAGATGACCCCGAGATGGCCCAAGGGGCCCCAAGAGGGCCCCAATGGCGCCCAAGAGCGCGAGAGCGCCTTTTTTGGAAGCTCCTAGGGGTGGGTGGGTGGAATTAAGCCCCCCTCTTTTTGAACAATGGTGGCCACTGCTCCAAGAGGTCCCCTATGCCACCAAAAAGAATTTAAGCTCCCCCCCAAGACCTTCCAAACGAGCACCACATGGCCCGAAGATCCCAATACCTCCGAGAAAACGCTTCCTAGGCGGTTGTTACGCTGCCTGATTTCACTACCACCGTCAGCACCTGCATCAATAGCAGCATCACTACAACCACCAGCAAGAGCACTTGGCAGCAGCGGTAGCACCAGCAACACCGCCACCACCGTCAGCAGCAGCACCAGCAGCAGCACCTAGCAGCAGCAGCAGCAACAGCACTAGCACTATCAGCAGCACCAACATCACCACCATTAGCAGCAAATGCATTAGCAGCAGCACCAGCAGCACCAGCAGCACGATAACCATCGCCAGCATCAGCCAGCACCAGCAGCACCAGCAGCAGCAGCACCACCACCACCACCACCAACAGCAACACCAGCACCATCAGCAGCACCACAGCAGCGCCAGCAGCATCACGAGAACCAGCAACACCAGCAGCACCCGCAGCAAAACTACCAGAAGCAGCAGCACCACCAGCACCCACAGCACCACCAGCGGCAATGACACCAGCAGCAGCGCCAGCAACACCTGCCCAGCAGCAGCAGCACCACCAGCACCAGCACCAGCAGCAGCGCCAGCAGCACGAGAATCAGCAACACCAGCAGTAGCACCAGCAGCAGCAGCAGTGCCAGCAGCAGCAGCAACAGCACCAGCAGCAGCACCCGCACCCTTCGCTACCAGAGATCTCCCCAATTCAACAGTAGTGCCCGCGCTGTTTCACTATGGATGGGCTGGTGGGGATACGCGAAGTGTCAAGAATTTCGTTTAAGTTAGCATTGAAATTATAGGCGCGAACAACAGAAACAGAAATTTAATCAGGTTAACATCATGCGCACGAATGTAATTACAACCTGCGAAAATCTTGTTCCGAACATGGAAATATACGAATCCAGATTGCATGCTGAAAAAATCGACCTCCGAACATGGAACTCACAGAAAACATGTTAGCAAAATCGCAAACAGTTTGGAACCAAAACCATTGAAATTTAGAACCCACTGGCTACTTACGGGCTACTTACGGGCTACTTACGCGGCTACTTACGGACTACTTACGGGCTACTTACGGGCTAGTTACGGGCTACTTACGGGCTACTTATAAGTTACTTATAAGTTACTTATAAGTAGGCCGTAAGTTCATAAGTTACTTATAACTAGCATAAGTACTTATAAGTACCCCCGCCGCGCGCAGTGCCGGGTGCTGGGTGCCGGGTGCCGGGTGCCGGGTGCCGGGTCGCCGGGTCGCCGGGTGCCGGGTGCCGGGTGCCGGGTGCCGGGTGCCGGGTGCCGGGTGCCGGGTGGCCGCGGGTGCCGGGTCGCCGGGTCGCCGGGTGCCGGGTGCCGGGTGCCGGGTGCCAGGTGCCGGGTGCCGGGTGCCGGGTGCCGGGTCGCCGGGTGCCGGGTGCCGGGTGCCGGGTGCGGGGGGCCGGTTGCCGGGTCGCCGGGTGCCGGGTGCCAGGTGCCGGGTGCCGGGTGCCGGGTGCCGGGTGCCGGGTGCGGTCGCCAAGGCGGATGCTGGGTGCCGGGTGCCGGGTGCCGGGTGCCGGGTGCCGGGTGGCCGGGGGCCGGGGGCCGGGGGCCGGGGCCCCGGGTGCCGGGTGCCGGGTGCCGGGTGCCGGGTGCCGGGTGGTGGGCGCCGGGTGCCGGGTCGCCGGGTGCCGGGTCGCCGGGTGCGGGGTGCGGGGTGCGGGGTGCCGGGTCGCCGGGTGCCGGGTGCCAGGTGCCGGGTGCCGGGTGCCGGGTGCCGGGTGCCGGGTGCCGGGTGCCGGGTCGCCACCTTGAGACTCCAAGGTCGATCTATAGTGCGGGGTCGAACTATAGATCGACCTGGCACTTTCCTTGGGTCGCACTATAGTCCAACCCATGATTTTTGGCCAGGTCGTACTTTTCTTCGCTCGCGCATTGTTAAGGATCCCCTGAGCGAGGGGGCATGCGTCCCCTGAGCGAGGGGTATCGGCTGCATCACATTGCGCGCATGTTACAACATCCCGCAGCTGCGAAGGCTCGAGGGCACATAGCGCTACTCTTGCTTGCGCGCACTGGGGGTGGGCAATGGTCAAGGGCAAGACGGAGGTGAAGATACGGGCTTCTTCTGTGACAGAGGAACAGTTGAAGCCGCTCGTGAAACAGCACATTGATCTCATCGAAAAATGCCAACTGCAAGGGGGCATAGATGACTTCATGAAGAACAACATGCCGTTTCTCTTGCCGCTTGCGCAGCTCACCACACGCGTCAAATGGAAGAACCTCCAGGACGTCGTGTTGAAGCAGAAGCCGAACATGCACCAGGAAGAGTGTAGGCGTTTCTGCCAGGAGGTGGCCAACGCTTTCAGCCACGTTTGCAACAAGTTCTACATCGCCAAGACGGGGGGGAAGCTGGAGGCGCACGCAAAAATGCTTGGGGAGGCAATGGGGCTGCAGCCTGGCAGGGCAAGCCCAAGCACAGGAGAGAGCAAAAAACGCGCCGACAGCAGCTCCGACATAGAGATGAACCCTCCAAATCTTCCACGGCCGCCGCGTCGTCCAGCGCAGATGGGGGCAGCAGGCGCAACGTCATCAAGAACGCCTTCGGCATCAGCCCGCCTCCGAGGCCGGCAGGGAAGAAACAGAAGGTTGCCACCAGCCCGATGATGGTGTTCTCGTCGCAGGAGGACGTCGAGCTCGCT